TTCACAGCACACTGCATGTGAACGGAAACCTCATCTGTTTACAATAGCGTCTTAGAAGACGGACTTTCCCGAGATTAGATCTCAACGAAACTAATGAAAAGCTAAACATTAAACTACAATGACTTCAGACTCCTTAATAAAACTGCACACCAAGTTAATGATTCTGAACCACTGTTACTTTTTTTTTCAAATTCGAAAGTTAAGTAGTTCGGACGTTTTAACGACCAAAGTGACCAACTTTCACAAATATGATACTTACATTCAAATATACATATAAACATTTCACAATATTTCAATGTCTTTCTTTCTCTCTTTCCTTCGAGCGCCTTACAAACACAACGTTGACTTAAACACCAAAACAGTATTCAAAAACACCAACTAGCGCACGCACTGTACTAAAGAACAATTGAAGTCGGCCAGAAATAATGAATATACTCGTATTATAATATCATTGCAAGCCAGTTCCAAACACGCATTCTCCCCAGAATAGACTGGCCCGAAAAGGAAAACCAAGATGTCTGGGATTGTAAACAAACTAATGATCCCTATGGTTATTTCGTCTTGTTTGTCTTCCCTTGCCACACCCACTCGGTGACACATGAATGATAAAAAAAAAATGACAATGTACTACAACAACTTTGTTGACCGACGTCTGAGAGTGTGAAGATGGTTGTGTTGATTCTGACTAATAAGTCAACACAGACCATGACAACTTGGGCTTGGAGCCACCTACGTGGTCGGTGTCATCTACTTCTGCCCAAATATCGCGCGGCGTTGTTGGTACGATGACAAAGGGCGCTCCTTTCTTGCCTCTGTAGAGCGGAGAGGTGATTTACCACTAGTCTGATAATATCGTTCGGAATGTGAACCTCGTCATGGATTCGTTTGAGATTGTGCAAATATAAATGGTTGTCTGACAAAACAAAAACTGTTTTTCTTTTCTCTTGGCTGGATCTGGTGTCACCTAGATCTGATATACGATAACGTGCGTAAGCCGTTCTTTCGGGTTGGGGGTCAAAAACTTGTTTAAAGGAGGCCGTAAGCGACAGTTTATTGAATTATTTATCCAGGAACTAACTGTTTTACAAAAGCTTATTCTAAGGAGGGCTAAGTGCCAGTGTGCGGCGTATGTTATAGGCTCCATAATAATATTTTCTAGTTCAGTTTTGACATTCGGTTTTGTGGAAGGCTTGCAAACCGCTGCCTGTTCGCTTTTATCTAATTATGTTTGGGTTAGTGTGGAAGCGAACGTATGTGCACTCGCTTCAGTTAAATATAATATGTTACGCTTTCTGTGTATGTAAGTTCATGTGTGTGTATGTGTGCATATGTGTATGAACATATGTGTGCGTTTACGTGTGTGTGTGTGTGTGTGTGTGTG